CATCCAGTATACTACACCCACGTTGGGAACTCAGAACTTGCCCGAACTGAGGCGGTGCTCCGCTCAGAGGAGATACCTGGAAAGGGAAAACCCACCAGCCTTCGCTTGAGTCGAACGGCTTTCACGTTCCATCAGCGGAGGAACATCGCCACATCCCGGGATATGACATGCTTTACTCTATTCAATCAACTCACGAAAGGATAGACGAAGAGAAATTGTTTCTGGGCACGTCAACTACTACGGTCACTAGTTCCGTTAGTGGAGTGGACGTTTTATTCCGGGAAGCAGCGGTGTACTTCTCCCTTTGAATGGTGAGTACGGCGCCGTTACATGTCGGCTTTCCCTTCCGGGTATCTCCCCAGAGGAGCACTACCACACCCACGACGAGCTCTAAGCTCCCGATAGGTCTCCCGACCGGTGTAGCAGAGCAATGCATGAGGTGTAGAAGTGAGAGGGTAAGGAAGAGGAAGGAATGATCGCGCGCGATCTGTGGTCAGTTTGATAAGATAAAACTCCGGCATTCACCTAGAATTCCGTGGTATCGGAGAAACATACGGCTGCTCTGATCTGTCGTTTTCCGTTGGCTTATCCGATCAACATCAGGCGAATGCCGGAGCAGTATTCTAACAAACCGGACACAGATCGCGCGCTATTATTCCTACCTCTTTCTTGTCTTATCATCACCCCTTACACACACTAACATGCACTACACTGCCACACTTGCCGGTAGATTGGTCGAGAGCTTAGAGCTCGTTCCTGCTGGGGCAGTGTCCCGCTGGTAGAAGATACCTGGTCGGGGAAAAACCTGGTCAGTCGAGACGGTAGGTCGGCGCAGGATCTCGCCATCCATCGGGGGAAGAGCACCGCCACAGCGGAGAAAAAACACGCACTACACTTACGGGAACAACGATCCCAGTAGTTGACGCACGCAGAATCACTAGCATTCAATCCAGCAGTCAACTGTAACGCTCACTGTGAGCTAAACCTGGCCGGCGAGCGCGACACGCGGAAGGAAGACCCGCGCGGGAGGCAGCGAGTGGGCGGCTTGCGGCCGCGTTGCTGGCACAGAAGGGGGATGAGCGTTCGGCGCGTCGCGAGCGGTCTGCTCACAAAAACATAACCTACATACACACAAATAGACAAGTCGGCGCGGCGTCTACGGCCGGCCGGCCGGCCGAGCACTCGCGACGGCGCGCGGACGGATTTACGAGGGTATTTCTGAAGGGCCTCCCGCGCCACTGCGCGCGTCCGTCGCTCAGATGTCACTGCCGCCGTCGCTAGACATCCTTACCGAGAAAGACAACCAATGGTGAACGATATATTGATTAGTGATTCCGGGCGCGGTTAATTGAGCCTACGTTGAATTCCGTCACTGTATGGAAGAGAAGCCGGCTCCTCTGATGGGTAGTTTTCCGTGGTTTCTCCGATCAACACCAGGCAAATGCCCGAGCAGTGCCCTAATAAACGGGCCACGACGGCTAACGGGATATGAATTAATGCAATTTTTCCCGTAATCGTAGTGCGTGTTTTTATTGCGGGAGGTTGCGGGGATCTCTCCCGCTGGATGGCGAGATCCGGCGCCGTCCACTTGAAGGGTTTTCTCCACTAGGTATCTCCCACTAGCACGGGTACCGCCATAGCCGCGCTAAGTTATAAGTCCCCCACCGGTGTCCCGACATATGTGGTAGTATAGTGCATGTGAGTGTAAGTGTGTGTAAGTAAGATGTGAGGTTAGGACACGGAAATGAAGGGAAGATCGCGTGCGCTTCGTTTGTTAGGGTACTCCTCCGGCATTTGTCTGGTGTTGATCCGAGAAATCGTGCAAAATTAACAATCGGACCAGTCCGCCGCTAGAATTCTTTTCCAGAGACCTGTCTAGCGAGTGTCGGAAATTCTAGCACCGTCTAGTACATCTATCGATGCCTTGACCTTCCTAAGCTGGTCATTGTTGTAAGAATTTCCAAGTGTCATTGAAAAGCTTATTTTTGAAGTGACGTGTCTCAATTTCCGTTTGTTTTCTGGTTTTGCTTATCAATGGGGTTTTACGATGCTTTTTCATTGTGCCGCCAAAAATTGTGTACAAAGCTGGCGTTTCTCGTACGTTGAACAGTTTACGAAATCCGTTGAATCCTATCTTGAACTTCAAGGCTGAATGTGAATATTTCCCCATCTTAATAGTATTGTATGTAATGGAGAAACATCACTTTGTAAGTAAGCTCAATTGATTGTGCATGACCTATAAATGTTTTTTTGAAGTCGTATGCTTCGGCGGCCAGTCATGCAAATGATCTTGGCTCTTCGGGCGACGGGCTGGAATGCCGACGGGCCACAGACCAGCCCTGAGGAAGACAAGATTATTGAAACGACGGCACCACAGCCTTCGACGCGGCCTTATCCAGACAGCCAAGATCATTTTCTAACAATGTTTGTCTTTCTTATCAGATAAACATGTAACAAATAGCATATTTCGTACAGAATTATTATATGTGCAATAAATATTTAACATCACGTTTGAACATTTCTCTGATTACGTGAAGGTTGTTATTTTCACACTATTTGAGTTTAATCTGAATATTTAACATGAAAAAATTAGTTACGTGGTACACTGTATTAAATAAGGATCAAGAGGATGTCATTGTAGTAATATTGCATTATTTTTTTTAAATGTAAAATTAACATCAAGGGCGATTTATTGCATTATAGCAAGGTAACTAGGTTGAAGCCAATATTACTCACTGTATCTACCTTATGGGCTTCATTGATTTTTTTTTCTCGACTATAATATTTGCAAGCGTGATCGAACTATCAGAATTTTTCATTACTATTAAAATGGTTTTCATAAATGAAGCACACATGATGGCTTTAATTTTGCATTTTTTAGTGAAGACAAATCTGAAGGAAGAATAGAAGTCTACCATACATCGTGTACCCAGATTTGAGAAATGCTTATAAAACCAAATATTAGGAATTTCGCTAGAAAGATATCACTGCGTTCCAACGGCATCATCCGTATGGACATAGTTCAAATTCATTTAACGTTCGGGACAAACCCCTCCCAGTCTCATAAATATTTGTTAAAGAACAAAAAATAAACAAAAATTAACTTAAAACAAAAAAATTAAAATGTACATTCATCATTATGAAATATTGCTTTGATCGTGACACTGCCCGTGTAGTAATTGGTTTGGATAAATTGAATGAAATCACAAAACAAAATATCAGCTTTCGGGGATGCACGGTCACCTGGTCCAACTTGGATCCGCCTGTTGCCGCTGGAGATGCGACATCAATTTCGATGTTTTTATAGGAACATCCATACATGATGATACAGTATTGATATATCGATATTGTCGATGTTGTGAATGGAAGATTCTCATACATATTTCGTAAAAGTTAAAACATTTAAAAATAATGAGATTAGGTATATTATCAGTTATTATGAAATAACACTGATATTGCTATCAGATTATGAATTCAAACCAAACACTGTATTGCATTCATTAAACAGACTATTTCTTGGTCGAGATGAGCCAGACGCCCTGGATTTTCCTAGGTTTTAATTTCGCACATGGTGTTTTCTTTTTAATTTTACTTTAAATTTTCTCCTAAATCGTAATTAAATTTATTGAACTGGGCCATTCGCAACTTCACCTTTATTTCCCACGAAGTTAACGCTGAACGTTACTAAAACTAATTTAAACAGCGAATGTTTTTGTGTCGATATATTATTAATATCAATGTTTTAATTTTGAACATCGATGTTTGTAAACATCAATGTTGCATCACTCGTGGCCTTGTCTCCCGGGAAATGCTCGGCCGTTGCTTTTCTACACTGCGCTCTTCCTTTAAATTCACTTTCTGAGGGGAGCTCCAGATGATCGTCAACCCGGAGCGAACCTAATTTAGTTTTGATTGAACCACACCTGCTGGTTCGGTTTTCCTGTCTTTTCGTTCTTAAAGCAAATGTTGGCTAGAATAGTGCAAGACAATTTGTATTTAGGTTTCAAAAAGCACAATAGATTTTTAGACACCCTCGTTTTATGTATATTGATGATGCTTGCTATTGATAAGAAATAAAAGTTCCTGCCACTCAGACGGGAGATTATACATCTCTACTCCTAATGTGTATCAACATCATAAGATGCAATTAATTTTCATCTGCCATTCAACATATTTTCATCTCATTTCAAGATTCTTTTTTTCTGGCGTTTAATGGTTCTCAACCAATTTCGCACCATTTCATGGATTCTAACATTACCGTGAGCGACACCGCTCAAGACAATGTGATGCAACTGGAAGTGCCACATTTGAGACGTACTAATAGGAACGTTTTTAAACGTAGCCATATGCTTATTTAGATTTTTTAACGTTCTGAGACTAAAAGAACAGTAGAAAACGTTGCAAAACTTGCAATTGAAAATTTTAGTTCATTATATTAATGGATAAGGAGAGGGAATAACTATTTTAAGGTGGTTTGAGGTTGGAATAACAGTTTAAGATGGTACTAGATCCCGACGGCCCCACATTTCATATATTCATGACATTAATAGAAAAGTTCCGATCTACGAAAGGATTCAAAGGAAAAAGACACTAGGTTTATAAGTAAAAAATATTCGTTTGGTAGTGATTAATGATATATTCTTTCAACACAGGAACTACAACCAAGAAAACCTATTTTACTTCAATGTTCGAACACAAATTTCTTAATACAAATTTTTTCTTTCACAAACATCGTAAAACGTTTAAGTACAAAATAAACAAGAAAATCTTCATAGTAAGTACAAATAATTTTTTGTAATTATATAAGAAATGTTCCCAATAATTCCCCAAAGGTTACAAATGAGATTCAAAACCACACAAATTCTTATTATTTTTACCAAATAATACAAGTGTCATAGACATTCAAACAAAGATGGCCCATGACAAAATAAATGCCAAACTTCAATTTTTCAAATAAAATTATGAATTTCTTCATATATTACAATAATAAGCAAATAAACTTGATTTAAACAGGCCTTGTCCACTAAAAAACTAACAAATTATGCAACAATTATCTGCTGTAGATTTACAAGCAGCTCTAAGCATAATATACACAGTGAACACAAAGTTGACTCAAGAAAATAAGACAAAGAGAAATTTGAGGTAACACTTTTCACTATTATTACTCAAGTGATTCCATACTCCATTAGCTTATTTGCTCAGTCCAGCATTGAGCAAGCATCACTAATTGCAGAGAGCAAATTTCAAGCAAAAGCTTCACAATTACATTACCAATAGTGCAAATTCAAATAGACAATCAAAAAGCAAAAACTAAAAGGAACAAATCTAAGTGCATTTATTAGTGATGCTCACCCTTCAATTTATAATCTTGTTTCAGAATATATTTAAAGACAAATCTTAAGAGGTAACATAACTTTCCAAATGAATCAGTAACATAATTAGAGGGATATTAAACCATTTTTATAAAAAAGTACAAAATACTGAAAATTGAACACAATTGTTTCTTTCTGCAAGTAATAATGCTCCATGTAACTGCAAATGGGCCACCTCCAAATTTCGAGCTCATTTGTATGTGGACAGAATCTAACAAAACTTTTATAGAAAGTAACAGGAAAGTAAAGCAAGTATGAAGACTAAGTGCAGAAAAGTTTGCTACCCTCCCCATTATCAAACGGTGCTGTGTCTTGACAGAAACTGATGAATGAACACAAAACATCAGTGGTAAGAGATATAAAAATTGATTACAAACTTTTGAACAAAAAATATATAAAACTGAAAAATCTTATGATACAAGGTCTGCAAACCTTTGAATATACATGATAAACTATGATCTTTCTTTACATATTTAAAAACCCTATTGGTAACATAAATACAAGAAGTTTACTAAATTTGTTTACATAACTTTAAACTAGTGTTAGTATATAGTAATTCTGTAATTTATGTATAACAAGAAATTATTAATAGTACTGTCATATTTACATTACATTAACAAAAGCGTATGCTTCCAAATGTGTTTGGAATTATGGCAACCGTAAAGCAACCAAAATCCTAACACAGAAGCGGTAGCGCGAAGGCGCATGGGTAAGTCCTTAATCTGCAGGAGAAATTTTCACGTGAAATTAACCCTTAAGTGCTGAAATAACATTACTACTAATAGATAATAAATGTAAAGTCCACATTCTCCCTCTTGCATTGCTAAACAAGATCATTAATAATCTCGTATCCTAAAAATAAAACTGGAAGAATGCAGCTTTTCTATAAAAAAGTGAACACTGTTTCTTGCCCACTCCACCTTCATGACAACCTAGAGTAACTACAAAAAAGGCACTCAATCTACAAAAAAGAAATAGAAGATAACCAGCCATCTGGAACTATTCCTCTAAATGCATCCCCAATTCCTCGAAAATACTCCCTTCCACATGGAGTATCAGGGCAGCACCTCACTGCAGCGTCCAAGAAATCAGGGTTGTACCGAGAATTGCTCTAGAGCGTAGATCTCGGGGATCTATACTATCCCCACTACGTGTCCATCATAGAGGCACATACTCCTGGAGGTACTATCAAAGAAAATATTCCTCCTGACAGATCTTTATAGGTAAAATCACAAGGCTTTTTAACTACATCACTGCAAATAGTCCATAGTCTGACAGTGATTCCTGCTTCGGCTGGCAAGTGTGTATTGCTCCATACTACTCAAAAGCTTATTCACGGGCTTTGTAGCACTTGTTTCTAATGTCTCTAGCCAATGTGCACGAAAAGCCGCATGATTACCAAACTAGTCCAAACTTAATCAAATACCTGAGAATTGAAAGATTTATAGCACACTAGACCCATTAGGCAGGCACAGGCGCAACCGCCTGAAGGCAAACATTTAACCACGAAACAGGGTAAGGGATCTTTCCGACGCTCCCTACTTCAGACTATAGCTCGACTATCAGCTTGGGCTTACGCAATGTTCGTCACTCGTCGACGAAGGCAACTGTTTTAAAAAACACGACGCAAATCTAGTCTCTCTACGGGGTAACAGGTACGAAGTCTGTCACAAGAAGCGAAGCGGGCGCTTACAACAGCAGCAGCCGTCTGCCTGCCTGCCTGTCTGTCTATCTGCCGGCCGGCAGAGTCACAGGGTTGTCTTATTGGCGGTTGCCGAGCAGCTCGCGGCGGCTGGCGGCCAGGTCGCGGCGCAGCGCCGAGCAGCGCGCCATCATGCGGTCCTGCTGACGGCGCAGCGCGGCCGACTCCGCCACGAGCGAGCGGCCCTCGTCGCGCAGGTGGCGGCAGTATTTCGAGGCCTCGCGCAGGATCATCACCTTGGCCGCGCGCTTGTTGTCCTTGAGCTCGGGCACGAGCTTGCGCAGGTCGTCCACGAGGTTGCGCAGGTCGATCCGGCGCTGGCGCTCCATGTCGTTGTGCAGGCTGCGCTTCTCGGTGGGGTCGGGCTCGCTGTCGTCGCTGCCGCCGCCCCCGCGCGGCCGACGCCCGCGCCCGCGCGGCGCGTGGTGCTGCAGGCGGTGCTGGTACT